CCTAACCAGGAGGAGCTGACTGCAATGGTGGTGAAGACAACAACTCCCATGATTCCAGGCTACTTCCAGACGTCACCAAACTTTGTCTTCTATTATTGTTTCAATGTGAGAGCGGGAGAAATTAGATGTTGTCCTTTAAATGTTTTTAACTTACTCACAGTGACAGTTTGACAAGAGTCTTTGCTGTTGCTGGCATCAAACCTGTGTTTTTTCCACTTTACAGGTTACATTGTGGCCCAACTACAGCATTTTCAGATTCTTGAAACACATGGATCAGGTTTTATAAGAGTGTTCTGAGCAATTTTTGGCCACGTTTAACCATTATATATCTACTTACACTTGGCCTGAAATCCAATCAGGCATCCAAAAAACGTTTCTAGAGTTTATGGTGGCTCCTACTGGCAAATATAAAAACATATTTATCGCATTATAAAGACCATTCCAGCCAAGTTTCATGTTTATTGGACACTGTGCAGTGGTGTGAGAGGTTTTTCTCTTGGCTCTGCACACTTGTAAAAACCTTTAATGCACACTCCCTGGTAGAGTTCAGCTCCACACTGACGCTGTTCCTCCTCATGCTGAAAGTGATCCACCGGGCTCCTGGGAGCTCATATCCTGCCTGCAGCGTCTGATTGGTTGGCCTCAACCTAAAGACATGTGGCTCTGTTTAGGCGCATGCTGACTTACCATCCCTCCACCCTGTACCCCTGCTTGTATAATGTTGCCAAAGTCCCACAGGATAACACAGTTTACCCTGCTCTGCTGACTCACCTGACTGAGGAACACAGACGAGGATCAGTATATGTCACCCTCACATCTCACATATCTGTTGGATTGCAAAGAAAGTTTGAATGCTTATAACCTCTCATGTTTTACCCAGTGCCACCAAACACAGGTCAGTACTTGGAGGAAGGTGAACAGCCATATCTGTATGTGTTAATTCATGCTAGGATAAAAGGCTAACACGTTGTTATGTATCCACACCAAACACGCTTATGTTGCAAGCAGAATCATTTGTTTATTCACTTCAGGGCAAGATCTTGTGCAAATTAGGGTAAACCGATCGGGTGAAGAGTGTGTTTGTGTCGGACATGTTACCAAATACTGAGAGGCAGTCTATAATGTCTATGTAATGTCTATCTGACTTCAAAAATAAACATTTCTATTCTGGCCCTTGAGCTTACCTAACCATGGTTACTAGACAGCCAACGTCACTGCCCTTTGTACGTGGATTTTGAATTACATCAGTGCCCGTTTTCTAAAAAGCACACTTCATCAATGGTTTTGTTTTGAAGGAGGAAGTTACTTCAGAAAAAAAAAAGAGACCAAAGCCCAAGTCCGAGAGCAAAGGTCTGAGACAAGTTGTCGGAAAAACATCTTGAGTCTGAGACTTGATTAGAGTAGAGCAGCACTGCTCTGTGATAGTCCGCTTCCACCGGCTTCACCCAGTTATTTCCTAGTCTTTATTGCAGGGGCATTTCCTTTTTTGGTGTCGAACTCTGTGAGCTGTTGTCACTGTTGAATTGGATTTGGTGGTTTGTTAAATTATCTTTTAAAAATGAACTATTTGGCGTTGTGCCAAAGATCAATAGGGAGGACAGGTTAAACAGTTTTTGAGTTCTAAAGAAATTTAGTAATTTATGCTTTCATCTGGGACTCTTAATCAGTCCCTCCAGCCTAAAATGCCTGATTTCACTGGAGCTTTTGCAAAAAAAAGGCATCAAACTACTCGGTTTTGGTGACATTTTGGCATGGGGGACTGCTGTGATTTGCAGAAAAGTTGAGGTGTCACACAGAATCCACAGGGATTGGTTGAATTTGCATGAATTCCCAACTTCCTGGAGGGGCTGCTTCATCAGTGGTTTCATCGGTTCAGTAGAGCTGATGAAAGTGATGAAACATCCTTGAAACCAAAGTCCAGATGTCTTTTACTGAGAGAGTGGATATTCAATAGATGACCTTTCCATGAAATGCACCAAAGAGACAGTGTGTTTGGTGGTCTGTTTGCATTGTTGTCAAAGATTAAGGGTGTAACAGGCTCGATAGGAGTTTCCTCCAACATGTCTCATTTATCACTGGGGCCAGAGCAGCATTCCTTTAGCTTTAAGTTTACATGATTTCTGTTCTTTTTGCCACGTAGTCAGGGTGAGTCCTTCAGTCGTGCTTGGAAAGCTCACAGGGTTCATCTAGAAAGTACTGGAAAGGGTAGTCTGTACTCAACCAAACACCAATTTATTTAAATAAAGCTATCAGGAAATGCTTCTCCACAGGAGGGTCGTTATACTCTGTGTTTCACAGAGTTCACAAGAGCCACGATTGTTCTTTATTGTAATTGATCAGTTTTAAGTAATCGGAGAGTTCTGTGAGTCATTGTGGTTTAGTATAGAGCCACAGCCTTAAACTTGTTTCAGTGTTTCAGTTGGGAAAAAAAGCTTCTTTGTTGGACTTGAGAAACCTGAGTTCAGGTTCCTTAAAGATATAATATGTAACATTTCCACATTAAAGTGTCTAAAAACGCTGAACTTATGTTATATATTTTGTTTAATGGCGTACTTAGATTATAAAAAATGTGTCCAACAATGTTCAAATGATGCAAACTATACCATGGCTTTGGTTTGTTTGACTTTAAAATAGAGTAATGAATGATACAAATCATACATCAGTAGTTTACACATGAAGATATAGAATAATAGAAATGCATGGCAAAAATAGCATGTTGTCAGTATTTTAGAGACCCCCTGATGTTTTATTAAGAGGAGCCAACCCCCCTCTCGCTCCCCTGTACTTCACGCCCTGTTTTTAAAAGATTATTTTTTTTTAATTTCCATTGCTTTTCCCTGAGTTAGCGACATGATGGCAGTTTGGGCCCTTCATTGTTGTTGTTGTTTTGTCTTTGAACAACAAAGATAATCATAAAATGATATAAACATTTTTTTTGCTATAAGTATGATGTTATTAATGGTAATATTATCAGAATATTGCACTTTCTTGTAGCACTTGAATGTTGACGTGGACGATACCAGCCCCAAGCCAATTTGAGACGAGTGTTGGGCTAGTTAATCAACAAATGCAATTTATTACTCATTAATCTTTTCATAAGTAACATTATTACTTTACTTATTACTCCCTGCCAACAGTAAATATAGTTACACCACTAATTATATTACTTTTCCGCTACTCCCCACAAAATTGTGTGCCCTTTCTCTCCAAAATTCAGACTTGCGACGATTAAAATCCAGTTTTGTTTGTTAAAATCAAACCAATGTGAATATTTTCCATCTTCCAAGCTAGTTTCCTCCACTATTACAAAAATTAATCCAAAGATGTGATTGTATTGTTGGATTTCAAATCAGGAGGAGGGTAAAAACAAAAGTAATTTTAATGAAATGTGTTAGTAATTAGTTACACTCCTAGTTACTGGGGAAAGTAATGTTATTATTAGTAATGAGTGAGTGCTAAGGTCTGCTGTGAACAATGCTACTAGCATGTCTAAAAGTCAGACCAGACAATGCGAATGTAAACATGTGAGTGGTGATGATTCAGTCTCATTTCCATCTGTTTCAAGTCAGGAACTCGTCTCTGGGCGTACCTCGGTGGAGATGGATGTGCGTGTTGACCTGTGTGTGTGTGTGTGTGTGTGTGTGTGTGTGTGTATGTGTGTGTGATCGGCTGTGCCTTCCTCCGTGATCTCCAGGTTCGCTGACTGGCAAACTGAGAGCAGACAGCATCCTATTATTCATCCACAGTAATCCCAGTGCTCCCACACAGCACTCACTGTCCCGATTTATCGCCAAGGACCATGGGAAAGGTCAGAGTTGAGCTGTGTGTGTTTAATTCCCTGTAGTTACATGAGTTTGATGGAATATCAATGTGTATTCTACATTAAACCTTCTGTTGTTGTTGTATCTCGAGTTGTTGGACCGCTCAACAGCTGCTGTTCTTAAAGTGTGTGGAAACATCGAGGAGGGCAGCAGACAAAATGCAAACAGTACACACACTCAGGGACAATGGTATCGTACATCCTGCATCTGCTGTTTCTGCAAGAGAAAAAAATAAAGGGGCATATTTACTCTAATTGCTTTGAGGTTTTTCCAAGAACATTGTGTTTGACAGTGGATTCGGTTTGGAGTCGGGCTGTTTGTTTTACGAGCAGGTCAGGATCTCGGGCATACGGCTGTGAGATAAACACGATATCATGCCAGATT